CAAAACTGTCTTGAAATACAGGCATAATGAGGAATATCAAACTTCCTTTAAATTAGAATTTGAAGCAATATCTCCTGAAGAGCCACAGATATATCTCAGTTGGGAGTCATATCTAAAGAGATGAGTTTTTCCTCTCTGTTCTGTTAGCAAGCATATAGAAACACAAAAGCCATCATGAATTCTTATTTGCAGAGAGTGTATTAAGTTTTTCTTCATTTGTTGGTGATTAGCATGTTGTTATATTTCATTTAATATAATGTTCCATTGTTATATTTGTTCATATTTTACTGATCTGTTTAACAGATTTGTCTACAGTAATATTCCCCAACCTGACTGCCTCCAGAGATAGTGGCAATGTACCTCTGGCTTGCATCATAAAGTAGGCTAGAGCTAGTTTTCCCAATCTACCTTTCTTTGAATTCCCTTGCTGGTAGAAATTTATATGAGGGTGGAGTTCGGATGTGCCATGAAATAAGGAATGTGTTTCTGACCCCACCTCTTAAAAAAGGATTCATTCCTAAAAAACAAATCCATTATTCTTATTTGCTTATTTGATTTTTGTTCTAGTGTGTAATGATGCAAGAAAACCTTAAATTATAGAATGTAAAAGCACAATCCCTTCAGAATTTGACTGACTATATTTATTCATGTGATGACTTTAATAACTGAATTTAATTATATAAAAAATGATTACACCGTGTTGTTTTTTTCTTTTCTTTATTGTATGAATGTGTTGCTCAATAGTAAAGTTTCCATTTGCTTATTTCTGTAGCGTTTCTGGATGATTCTTTCAATTTTTCCAAAGCTTCTGCTTTGTATCTTCCAGTAGAGGGATCACTGACACATTGACAAAAATAGTACACCCTTTGATAAGTGTGTATGCATTCATGCATTTATAAACACACTGAGAGAAATGTAAACATAATCACTATAACAAAGTATCTCTTCATGTAAGAGGAAAACATTGAATTAATTTTTAATGGTAACCTTCATAGGTTCTTTCATTTTTAGGATCCTGAGCTTTAAACTGGCTTCTGAATGAAAGGAGTTTTGAAGCCCAGGATTCTCACCTTTATATGTGAACATCTGTCACCCACCTAAGCTCAAGTAGGAATCAATTGTTCAAGAACAAGAGACAGATTAATCTTCTTTAAAGATCCAATCACATCAACATCATACTCATACATAATGAACCAATATCTCAAATGGACAGGTGAACATGTTGGAACAGGTTAGCTGAGCTCAGTCAGCTCCATAATAAGGTGGCAAAAGTCAGAGAAGCCAAAGGAGATGGTCTATTAATCAAAATTAAATATAGAACCAAAGATAACTCTATGAGGAATAATTCTGTCAGGAAGGATCCATTCAAAAAGCATTAAGATGTCCTCTAGCCATAGTCAAGAACAGAGGTGAAGTTGTATATATTACATGTCTTCTCAATCATACTCTTCCAAATACCCTGATCAAACTGTTTTCCTACATTAATGCTATTGCCAAAACATTCGGGGGGGGGGGGGAATTATTTGCCTAATTTAATTCTAATTGAATACACTTGTTTAATAAAGTAAATCATCTCCTTAGCACATTTCCTTCTCTGGTTTCTTTTTGTATGGATGTGCATCCAGCCTACATCACAAGGATCCCCCAGTACATGTGATAACATGCCATAGTTATATGCATAGTTAAACTCAATATTGATAAAATATGCCCCTTCTTGTTCTGTAGAACTTTTTCCCATAGCCATTGCTTAGTTTTGTAATGTGTAGAGAGGGGTGAGTGATATTCCTGCATACTGTTTTGTTTGCCTGACAAAAAGTCTGCTCTCTTCCATTATTAACATTGCTTTTTCTTGCTGTTGCAACACAATGGACAATGCAGGCAGTATGATCATGAGACTGCCAGCACAGCAACCTGCAGGGAAGAAAAGTGTCAGTGGCCAACCCCCTCCACTCTCCACTAAAAGCTTCGATTGTTTGGTTGCATTAGCAAGAAGAGGCAAACCACAAAGCCCATTAGCATCAAGTCCTCAATCATTAATGGAAAGAAATACTCTGAGATGTCAAATCCCAATGGCAGCCTTAAGTCATTGGGCATGTTATTCTGTGGAGATATTCCATGAATACCACCCTTGCTTCCTAAAGCAGTGGTGGGTTCCTACCGGTTTGGACAAACCGGTAGTGGTTTGGCGACCTGGATCACTGGAGCCAGTAGTGACCCAGGCCTGCCACGCCACTGAATTGGTTCCCCGGACAGTGGCGGCAGTGCCGCCATCTTGTTTTTCAGTTCTTTGCATATGCAGAACAATTTTGATTGCACTGTGCATGTTTGTGTATGCAGTGCACACACGAGCAAACCAGCAGTATTGCCTGCTGGAATCCACTCCTGTCCTAAAGCCCAATATTTCTCACCAACCTTGCTTTCCTAGGTGTAATGTTATGTGGTAAAGACCTTGGGAGATGGAGCAGTTTTATGCCAGCCTTACCAGGTAGACCAGACAGGAAACATGACCAGAGAATCAACTTTATTATAAAGCTACATTAACAGAATCTTTCAAATCCAAAAGTGAAAGGCATGATCCAAAGTCAAGCATCAATAGCAATCCAAAGCAAAACAGGAAATGAACATGTTCCTGGCATCGGCTCTATCTGTCTTCTATGCTACAGCTGTGTGGAAAAGTCCTCCATGCTCTATGGTTTATGACATTTTTTTGGATAGGCCATTGATTTTATGATATTTTATGCTAACTGCTATGCAAATATTGTTATATTTAAATAAATACTGGTGGTTTTTAAGTGAAAGGCATAAGCTTTTTTTTAATTTGGTGCTGTTTGGATGGGGAGTTTGAATTTTCTTGCATGCTTACAATGAGTATGAAAACAAATTAACTGATGCATATCCAGTGGCATACGTGTTGCAATTACTAAGGCTGATGCTACTGTTTTGTTAACACTTATTGTTTGTGGCCCTGGAAAGGACTGTTTGGGTAACCAAACATGGTTACTTATATGAAATGTAAATACAACTTAAAACTGAGTGTGCAGGACTTTTTCACACAGCTGTAAATAGCCAACTTCTAGTGCAGCCCATCAAGAGGGACAAGATTGCTTCCTCATAGGTACCGTGTTTCCCTGAAAATAAGACAGGGTCTTATTTTCTCCCCCCCCCCCAATGTTGCTTAGGCCTTATTGGTTTGGGATTGCTGGGTGGCTGTTCTCTTGCGAGCGGGAGCCCAAACAGCCGGGCACACCCTCAGGGGCAAATAGCTTTGTTGCGCTGTTGCAGCATGAGGTGACCATGCTCATGAGCAGCCGCCCGGCAACCCCCCCTTTCTAGCCGGGCAGAGCGCCACTCACTGACCCAGTAATATGCCAAAGGCACTAAGCCGTGTGGTGCTCTGCCGGGCTGGAAAGGGAGGTTACGTGAGTGCCTGTTCCGCCCCAGCTCATGTACCTCCCAGCCTCACCATGGCCTGTGCCAGCTCTCCCTGCAGGGCCAGGGTGCCGCCACCGCCGTGCTGCCACCGCCATTGTGCTCCAAGCATAACCGGCTTCCAAACTTCAGAGATCCGCTGCCGAGTCTTCCGGCAGCGGTCGCTCTGGGACTATGCTCTATGGTTGTGGGCTGGCTGTGGGAAGACTCTCTGTCCCACCAGAGTCTCCAACAGCCAGCCCACAACCATAGAGCGTAGTCCCAGAGCAGTCTCTGCCAGAAGACTCGGCAGTGGAACTTCAGAGTTTGGAAGCCAGTTATGCTTGGAGCATGGTGGCGGCGGTGGCAGCAGTGCTGCGATGGCAGTGGCAGCGGGGCCAGGGTGGTGGCTGCGCCCTGGCCTGGCCCTGCAGGGAGAGATGGGCATGGTGAGGCTGGGAAACATGCGAGCTGGAGGCAGAACAAGTGCTCGAGCAACCTCTCTTTCCAGCCGGGCAGAGTGCCACATGGCTTAGCGCCTTTGGGATATTACTGGGTTGGTGTGTGGCGCTCTGCTCGGCTGGAAAGGGGCATTCATCGGGCAGCTGCTCATGAGAGCAGCTGCCCGGCAATCCCCCACTCCAGCTGGGCACAGTGCCACCCACCAACCTAGCGGTATCTCAAAGGTGTCAAGCAATGTGAACGTCTTTGCCCCCTTCCCCTGGCTTCTGCAGTTTTGCGCCTTTGGGATATCGCTAGGTTGGTGAGTGGCGCTCTGCCTGGCTGGAGAAGGGGGTTATCCAGGGGGCTTACTATTGGGGGAGGGCCTATATTTTTGCCCACAGGAAAAATATAGCATGACCTTATTATCAGGACATGTAGTAATTTCGAGAAAACACAGTAGTAGACAAGTTGACCTTGGCTACTCCTGCTTTTTTTTCTGCCCTACATGTTCTTTGATCTGGTGCAGATGGCAGTTCCTCCTCCTCATCACTAACTGGCTGCAGTGTGTGCTTTCCCCACCTGAAGCTTCAAGGCTGTCCTGCTGTAGCTGTGCTTCAGCCCAATCACTCTCAGATGGCTGCCGGAGCCATTAACCAACTCCTATCCTGACTTGCTTGAGACTGGTTCATCGTCCTCTGAACTGACATCTGGGTATCTGAGGATATGTCTGGAGGAGTCATCACAAATGGATGTTGGAGATTCTGGTACAGAACTTCCAACTGTGGCATCATGTTTGTGGGAACTCTGAATAAAATGTTTTCTTGAGGCATCTTTTCTCGGTCACACTTCCAGACCACCTCCAAACCTCTAATGATTTGACTTACTAATTTCAGTATCACCACTCTATCTGGCTACTGCTACTCAAGAGTTTGAAAACTTTTATTATTTAAATTGAATCACAACCCAGATATGGTCCCAGGTCTGGCTGCATGACACTTACAACATACTATTTGATTCTAAGGTTGGTTTCATTTGTATCTAAGCCCTATGGCTAGCTGTAATAATGCATTTGTGCAATGAAGTTCACCATATATGGGGAAAAACCTTTCTGCTCCTGGAAACATATTTTCCTTCATATTTTCCCTCTATTAGTTGCAATCTAGCGGTGATGTGTCCTGATACTCCAAACCCGATTTTTTCCCCCCTGGTTGCATTCCAGATATAACCGGTTGCATGTTCAAATAAATTAAGTTAACCATATCCTTTTGCTCTTTCATGTCTATAAAATAGAGAAAGTAGAAAGAAGTAGCTGGCTGGGTATGAAATGAACTCATCTCTAGAGGGTTTAAGTAACTTCCTGATCCTATAGCCTGGGGCTGCTGCTGCTTGGAAATTGGAGCTATGAGAAAAGCATAGAGATACTTCAGTGATGCTGGGGTTGGTTCAGGAGGATTTAGACCTAAAAAGAAAAATAGTGTGATATAGTATAGTATCTTACAGTAGCTTACAGTACATTTTCCCATGGCTATGCTGGTGTGAGCAAAACCGCTTTCTCTGGGGGAACATTTTCTATAATGCATAGAGCTCTTTCAGACATCTCCTAGGAATAGATTGCTTCTGTAATGGCCACTACCAGAGACTCCAGCCAGAAAGTCGGATGTCATCTTTAACACCTCTAATGCTGATTGATACTAATTCAGAATATTTTAGTTGCATCTATCATTTCTGCAAGACAGGGTGCATACAGAGGTTTTTCAACTGGTTTGCCATCCAAGCACTCCTGTCTGGAATCAGATTTATTTCTCTTCAGCAAAGATAGCTGTTCTGTTTCTATTGTTGAGTTGTAAAATTGTTCAGAGCACTAAGAATTCTGGAATTCTACACTATATTTACATCTTCTTAATAGAATTATGTATGTATGTATGTATATATGTATGTATGTACGTATTTATGTATATGTATATTATAGAGAGGGGGGAGGGAGAAAGAGAGATTGGATAACCCTAGTATAACTTGTACAATCTCATTATTTTCCAGATGTGTGGACAAAGCACCAAAATTTCCCAACCAGTAAGGCCATTATTGAGAAATGTATGAGCTGAGTTCCACTTGTCTTGGGGAACATTCAGGTTTGAAAAGGCTTTTTTACTGTCATCGTAGAGTTCAGAAACTGGGGGCAAGGAAGGCTCCCCAAATCTGGATTTCCTAACCTTATTTTGATATTGCTTTATAATCACAGGCTGTCTGAATTTTGTACATGTTGGTTAGGCTTCAGACAGAATAAGAAAAAATCCAGAAGAAATTTAGAAGAAAAAATATGAAAGCAACGAGTATTAGAAAAATAGGGTATTTTTGCAGTAGTAAATCATCTCTGAGGGTTCAAAAAAGTAGGTTGAATAAACCCCACCAGTCTACAAACAATATCTTCAATATTTAATTGTCTCTGTATCCCCCCATTCTATCTTGAACACCAGGGGACCAGTAGATTCTGATTTGATTGGTTGATGATGTGCCATCAAAACTGTGTTGACTATTAGCAATCACATAGATTGATTTTTCTCCATGAAAATTCTAATTAAATGATAATTTTAAAATCCCATTCACTCCGCTTGCAAAAAAATGAAAAAAATAAAAAACCTATTAAATAGACAATTGCAACTATAAAGTTTGATAAAAGGTTTGAAATATTTATGGTAATTTTTTTTTAAAAAAGCCACATCTTCCCGCAATAAGATGGACCAGAGCATCTATTTGCCCAGTCTGCTGCCCAGATACTAAAGGTGTTCAGATGCACATGCACATACCTTAGTTTTTAAAATCTATTTGATCTCACATTGAAAGATACCTTCAAATAGAGAAATGCCACTTGGCAACTGTTCAGGCATGTTAATGTCCTCCGAAAAGTAGAATACTACAATTATGTCTACTTGTTTAAAGATCAGCTTCTAATTTTACCTATAACTTCTGAACGCAAGGGATAGTGATAGGAATTCCCATTTAATGGACTTTCTGGAGCCACCGAAGAGCTGAAATCTACTTTCTGAACTGATGAAGCTACTGGTGATCAGAAGGGCTTATAGTGGATGAACTTTTGTTGTTGTTGTTGTTGTTGTTGTTGTTGTTGTTGTTGTTTATAGCCTGTGGAGCAATGTTTTCAAATTTGCGGGATGGTGAATTTTTTGAGCTGAAGTCCACCCATTTTAAAGTGACCTAGGTTGATAAACATTGCTTTAGGCCATTCAAGATTTTATGTTTTATACATTTGCATTCCACTTTTCATAAAAGGACCCCAAAGCAGCATTCTGCTTTGTAATTCTCTCCCCGCTTCCTTGACAACATTGCCGCCCACATTTTATTCTTACCGCAACCTCCTGAGACAGGTTAGGCTGCAAGACAATTTTTCATTCATAATCATACATTGAAGATTATGGTTGAGAGGAGATTTGAATACTGAGTCTTCCCTAAAACAATATCTAGGGACTCGTCCTTTGATGTTTGCAAACTCTTGGTCTCATTTATTAAAATTTAACTTTGAAAAGATCAATAGGAAACCATATTTCAAACAAAGAAAGTATAAGCCTCTTTCTTTTATGCTTTTATTGCAATTAGCTAATTAAGCAAAAATAAGAAAAATATTTGCATGAAAAGGTTATATAACATCTACATTTACCATTTCTCAAAGATAGGATTTGAAACAAATTTCTTTGTACAGATGTCTTGAAAGTCTTACTCGTTGCTCCTTTGTTTTAACAAACAAACAAAATTTCAACTATGTCTAATTCAAAAATTAATCAATTACTACAAGCCAGGTGTAGAATGTGTCTTTCCAATATTTTTTTAGAATCCCTGATCCATGTAAAATCCACAATTCTTGATGTCTTGATATATTTAAAATGCTTGGAATATAGCCAATTATAGGCATCCTTAACTAATTAATGACCAGTCTAAAGCCATGTCAACAATCCTGTGGATTCCAGCCTAAGATGTGACAATAATAGCACAAATACAGACTATGTGAGTTAATGATCCAAATTCTAAATTGTATCACCAATAGTAAGACAACTATATGTGGAATTTTCTGTTCTTTTATAATCTTATTTTAAGAGAAAAAGGTTAATTTCACATTAAAAGTTTCCACTAATTCCAAACACACCTACTCATTTCTTTATCAAATCCAGGTACTGCCCATTTCACTCCTCAGTCTTATTATTCCAAAATTCCCCATTTATTTATAAAATATGTGGGCACCTATTTTAAGTAAATAATCCTGGGTGGACCATAGCATAAAACAATAAAATAGCATAAATCAAAACATAAGAAATATAAAATCCCAAAGCTAAGGCACCTTAGGGGGAATCCTCATTCACAAATTCATTAATATCAGGCTCTGCTAACTACCAGCTCTAAGTATTGTGGGAAAAGCCAGAGTTTTACAGCTTTCCACAAGGCCAGCACAGTAAACTTCCTTCAATATCCTGTGAAAAGAACTTGGTAGCATAGTGTCAATCCCCAAATCTCAGGCATGATGAAAGAAGCAAGATTCCTGAAGATTTTGATAAGGAAATGGAATGTAACAATTAAGATAAAGTACAAAAATCTTGGAAATGTGATAGGAATGACTAATCTTTATTTATTTATTGGAATGTTTTAGATCTCTTCTTTTGAGGCTTTTTGTAAGAGAGCAGCTATAGAAGAGATTAGCTTCTAACAATCTTCTCTCCAATCTGTTGGCTGTTTATATTTAACATTCCTCCCATCACCCCGATTTATCAGAAAACTCTCTAACTATTTGAAACTTCAAAGTTATCAATGGCATCAGCACAAAACAGCCCAAAATATTATAGCATAAATGGAAGAAACTGCCAAGCAACAATCTGATGTTTAACTGGTCCAAATAAATATTAGGAAAGACTCAATTTATCCTATAAACAGATTTGCCAGCTACTTTAAAACTTATTTATGTCACAGTGTATGTTTTTCACAGATAAAAGGATTAAAGTTATATCTGCAACTGAATATTATTTATTATATGCATAGGTATATGCATATACTGATTCAATTCAAGTCAGTTCATTTTATTATGGGCATAGATCAGTTCAAAATAAATTCAAAAGTAAAACATATACAATAATGACAAGTGAAAATCAACAATAGTATACAAAATTTTGAAATCTATATATGGTCAGTTAATAAAACATAATAAAACTGAAAATTAGTTATTAATTTGTTTGGACAAAAAGACACATAAAAGCTGCTAAATGATATGTTATCATAGATACTCCAGATCATAAAATAATATTTAGCTGTGTTCATTGAGACAGTCAGACTGATTGTAAATAAATATAAAAGGAATCTGAGCAAGCAGGATATCTGTCTGAGAATGGGGATAACAGATCCTGGAATGAAACCGTTAAATAGGAAAAGTACAATGCAATATGGCCCCAAATCTCAGTGTTTTTTATTAAACAGAATGTCTTGATATTAGTGACAGTTGTTAGTGACAGTTGTTCAATCTGGTCAAATTTAGTTAAAGAGAAAGTTCTCTGAAATGTAGGGGCTGTTATTTAATTAATAAATCATATGGGTTAGAATGTGTGAAAGAGATTGTCAAAACATAGGCATGGTTACACATTGAACTGTGAATGCAAGTTTAAAACTGTAGCACAATTTCAATATGTTACAGAAAAGTGTTCAAGCTGAGTCCCAAAAGAAGCAAATTTTGAAGCTCCCTTATTGCAACAAGTAACAAATAAGATAATATCTACTGAATCAGGTTGCCCTATTATGAGCATAGGCCACTAGTCATTTTTGGAAAGCAGTGTTAGCTTCTGCTTATTTCCAGACTGCTGTAAATGCAGTTTCCACATATATTCCTATCAATACTATTTTCCAGCTTGTGTTGACTCAAGTGCTACTATTTGCATTTTGATCAGGTACTTGTAAAGGAATGCAGGGATGACCTTGTGAAGGAATGGATGAACCATGAAGAGAGGAGAAACAGCAACTTGAGTCCCAGGGAAGTAGGATGTATGCGAGAGAGAAAACCTCAAAATAACCACATCTTGGTTTTGTTGGTATAAAATGGGGAAGAGAGAAACTGACAATTTTTTAAAGATTCTTTTATTATACCCTGCAATAATAAAGTAGCATTCCTGGAGCCCTTGCAATGTGTGTTTCCTAACCTGGCATACTTTGAATGGTTAATGCTATGGGGCAAAGTGAAAGTCCTTCAAAATGTAACTTTTTGTTCTCAGACCTACACTACAACTACTATGGTAACTCCAGACTCTCAAAACACAGTGGTTATAACAGTTGCCTGATATGCAGAATATTACTAATTCGCAATTTTGTACAAACTTCCTTAATATTTTTTTTCTTTCCATGACATTTTTTAAATTTTATTTTTTGTTCCCTAAGCTTTTCTATTGGCTTTTTTATATATTTTTTTTCAACAAAGGT